GTTGAGTATTTAAGGCAGATTTTATTGCTTTGCCTGCACTACATGAAGCCAATGAGGTTCATATGCTAGAAATGTACATTAGAGTCTCTTGAGAGTCGTGGCGTGTCCTGGTGGCAGCAGCTAATAAACAGGTGACAGAAAGTAAATGAATTCAATATCCAGCTAACAATGTAACAATGTCCAGCTGCTCGGTGCTTTAAAGTTGAATCAGTCACCTGGAAAATAAGGTGATGCGTCAAAATATATATAAACAAATCTTCACATTTATCTCATGCAAAACTCTTTTTTGATAAGACCCCGACTGGCACGCGAAGTAAATAAGAGCATTAGCTGTAAATGGCACATTGAGGTTGATTATCTCAGTGACTAATGCTCTGTCACTCTGCAGTATGAGAGAGCCCAGCGAGGACCCCCAGTAATAGAGCCTGAGCAGGTGTTGAAAGCCCACTGACATCAAGGGGGAGTGCACTGACAAGAATTTCTGATGAATTTCAATTACTGATCTATTAAAGCTAATGAGCTAAATGGGCAGCCAGAATGCATTTGCAAGACAGCTTGAGACCTCGGGCCTTTTTTTCTTCTTCTTTTTCCTCATAGAGCGAGCAGACAGCACCGTGTCAGACATGTTTCTGTGGTAACTTGATGTGTTAAATCCAGGCATATACGCTCAAATAATTTGCTTTATTTAAGAGCTGCTGTTTGATTTAATAAGAGTTCAGGCTATTTGTTGGATTTACATGTGATGCCAAGGTGCCATCTGCTGGGGAGGAGCCAACAGAGAGAAGATGGGAGAGTCTCTCTATTTTTTAGACCTGCACTGCCATCTGCTGGCGAATCTGTCAAACAGCTCTTTTTTAAAAAAATATTATGAACACAAATTATTACAGGGCAGTTTTATATAATAAGAGGACAGGTCGCATCTCTTAATTCTTGTTTATGCATCTGAACATTGTCATTCCTGAAAAATAAGTTGTGTAAAAAACATTGCTTTATCAAATATGTCCTATTATCATACTTCTTGATACTGTCATGTCAACCTTAATGTGTGACATAAAAAGACAAAATGACCTAAAACGGCTTTTAATTTTCCTATTTAAGTTGACATTGTTAATTTATACCTGATAAGTTTTTTTAAAGAAAAGAAATAATGTCTGTGTGCTCTGATGACTGTTTCATGTAACAGGAACATACAATTATTTGGTAATAATTATTGATTCCTGCATCTATTTCACCAAGTAATCTACTTTTTAGCATTTGCATTTAAAAAATGTTGCTTAAAGTCTAAAATGGTTGTTAGGTTTTCTTTAAGGTAACGCAGAATCAGTGTGTTTCTTGCAGAGAGAGAAATAACAAAAATATATAAAAAAATAAAATAAAAACATGAAGAGCTAATTATATTGTTTTTCTGTCTGCAAGAGGGTTTGTGTGTGTTTTTTTTTTTTTTTTCGTTTCACAAATTGAACCCAACATTTGACATGTTTGAGTCGTTACTGGCAAATGTCCCAAAGCTTTGTCACACTAGCTTTCTCACAAAAAAATACAGACAAATAAACAAACAAACAAACAAGCAAAACAAAACATATTTTCTAAAGACTGGGCTTTACCAATTAATACATTCACTTTGAAGTATCAGCTCTGGAGAGCAGGCAGGACAGAGGACATCGTGCTTGAAGTGGTACCAAAATGTTTTGTTTACTGCATCAAGAACATCGGACAAGGCCGCTAACTCTATTTTTGCTTTAATATTCTGGATTTGAATGTTTAAACAACAACGACAAAACATGAATGTTTATTGAATCTATAGGAGTAAAAATTACAGATGCACATAAACACCTGCTGTGTATGGACTCTGGTTTTTGACATTTGTCTTCTTGTTTTTTTGCACTGTTTCTCCAGCATTTATTCATTCTTTAATCAGGCTTCTGTTGGGAATTTTGTGATTTTTTTACCTTCAAACTGAAATCCTAAGACTTTAAGGTAGTCTTTGGAGGAAGTTGCTGACTTTCTCTCTTAAATCTAGAAGATTGGAAGCTCAAAGACCAGAGGGAGTCAAAGATGCTCTCCTTCAGATCTGATGCACCTCATCTAACCTGATTAATCTGACGTCATGTTATCAGTAACATTAATTATTGTTTAATCAACAACATTAGACTCAAACTTAGTACAGATGATGAGGGAGAAATTAAAAGAAAATAATAAACTTTATTTTTTCTTGTTTTCTGCAAAACACACTGATTAAATACAAACAGGTTGGTGTAAAAACAAATATTCATAATTACATTATTCATTACTAAAGCAAAGCGTGTGATCACGACTGTTTTTCTCAGTGGAACAGACATTTTGCAGAATTTATAYTGAATTTAATTTTCATCTAGTTTTGAAGTGGCAGGGTTCTTTGGCTGTCAAACTAAGTTGTGTAAGCCGGAAACTTTCTGTTATAAACAGGTTGTGATATTTAGACAGGAATGTCTGGAAAAGCAGGGGGAAAACATCAGGTCAGAAAGTTACTTTCATTGGTGTGTGTGGGACTCATGAGTTGTTCAGTGGGGAAGAACAARRGGTGGACCGATTAAAGGGAAACGGTGATGAAGATCTGTTCTGGGAAATGTTACAGTATATAAAAGTTTCCAATGTGTGTGTATGTATCAAATACAGCGGGTAAAATAAGTATTGAACACGTCAACATTTTTTTCAGTAAATATATTACTAGATGTGATAATGACATGAAATTTTCACCAGATGTTGGTAACAACCCAAGTGATCCATACATACAAAGAAATCAAACCATAAATGTCCAGAAATGAAGTTATT